TACAGACATACATACAGCTTCCCCCTTAGCCCTTTCTCATGGGGCGGCGGGAAGGGGAAAGCGGGATTTAGTCGCAGATCCCGAGCACTCGACACGATTTAACAACAACATTTTTTTTTTTTCATAGAATTTTTAAAAAAGGTGCGTGCGAGCGGGTTTAAGCCCCTCCCCCTATGCTCGTGAAAATGTTGAAAATTTTCGAGTCACTCGTAAAGAGAGAGGAAGATATGAGTAGAGAGAGGGGGGGTATGGGTGAAGAGAAAGGGAGATGTAGAGAGAGAGAGAGAGGAGATAGATAGACGGAGGAAGGATGTAGATAAAGAGATGGGGAGATATAGATAGATAAATGGGATAGATGGAGAGAGAGAAGGGAAGAGAGAATGGGGCGATACATGAGAGGAGAGAAAAAAAGAATAGGGGATAGATAGATAATAAATAGAGAGAGAGAGGCAAGGGAAGGGAAGGTAAAATAAAAGGAGGAAGACGGAAGCAAGGCGAGGACGTGTCTCCTCCGCCGTCGGGTGTGGTCGTGAATTTGTGAAAGTTTTGTCGGTTGAAAGGTTACTTGCCACAGAATTCTCGCGGAAGACCCTTCGCGCACCCTGTAGTCAGTGGGTCTTTGTTTTCGGTCTCCCTCTCTTGTTTTTGTTTTTGTTATTCTTATTCTTCTTTCTCTCTCTTTCTCTCTTTTCTTTCTTTCTCTCTCTCTTTCTCTCTCTCTCTCTCTTCTACATCTCTTCTCTCTCACTCTCTCTTCCTCTCTCTCTCTCCTCTCTCTCTCTCTCTCTCTCTCTCTCTCTCTCTCTCTCTCTCTCTCTCTCTCTCTCTCTCTCTCTCTCTCTCTCTCTCTCTCTCTCTCTCTCTCCTCTCTCTTCTCTCTCTCTCTCTTCTCTCTCTCTCTCTCTCTCTCTCTCTCCTCTCTCTCTCTCTCTCTCTCTCTTCTCTCTCTCTCTCTCTCTCTCTCTCTCTCTCTCTCTCTCTCTCTCTCTCTCTCTCTCTCTCCTCTCTTCTCTCTCTCTCTCTCTCTCTCTCTCTCTCTCTCTCTCTCTCTCCTCTCTCTCTCTCTCTCTCTCTCTCTCTCTCTCTCTCCTCTCTCTCTCTCTCTCTCTCTCTCTCTCTCTCTCTCTCTCTCTCTCTCTCTCTCTCTCTCTGGGTGTTATAGGAAGGCGAAGAGGCACCTCGACAGGAGGCTTATCTTGTAAGGCTCTTCCTCCGCCCGCTATCAGCTGTGAACGAGAGGATAGGAGCACTGCTGCCACCAGCTGTGAATGGCAGAAATTGGTCCCAGTGCAGGGGGATGAAAGGGGTCTTGGCTTGTCGTCTGGTTTCGGGAAGGTAGATGATGTAAGACCCCGAGAGAGACTCCTGGGGTGCCGAGGGCGGGAGGGCGATGGGTGAAATGGGCGTCTGTCGTCTCTTCTCTCCTTCTCTCTCTCTCTCTCTCTCTCTCTCTCTCTCTCTCTCTCTCTCTCTCTTCTTCCTCTCTCTCTCTCTCTCTCTCTCTCTGCTTCTGCTGGTGTCTTGGCGATTCGTCCTTTTATGCGGCTGTTCCTCGCGAGGGCGGGGGCTTACCTACGCCGCAGACGTGTCAGAAGTGGAAGCAGAGGGAACACCGGCGCCCGTTGAAGGGGGAAGGTAGCTCCCGGGGACAGCAGCGCGAACCGGGCACCATCTGGCCTCTAGAGTATTGTTTGCAATATATTTGTAATTGTATATAGATAGATAGAAAGATAGATAGATAGATATGAGGGGTGGAAAAAATATTTTACTTTCTAGGACCACCGAAAAAATCTAAGTGTATAGAGAAAAATGTAACAAACCAATGTGGAAACTGTAAATTTGAGGTGTCTTATCAATGTAGTAACCAGTTAATAAGTGGATTAAAGAATACTCTCTGCAAGATAAAGCAGTTTTCTAATGTTCTTATCTTTAAGATGCCGGAAAGGTTCTAAGACACTGCTTCAAGCTGGTTTTTGCTCAACTCATTGCCAGGTATTTTGCTACTTTCATTGAGAAGTCTATGCAACACTTTTGAGTCTCCATCTAAATCTCAAATAGTCTGACAAGGATGTTGTATAGAAATACCAGTTCTGTCCCTTCCAGTATCTATTCATTGCCTCCTCGATGACACTGTTGCAATGAGAGAGGGGACCATTCGCTGCAATTAAAAACTCTTTATTTATAATTCTCCCAACTTTTGGTGCCGTCAAAATGATACTCATGCATAGAAACCTTGACTCCAGATTCGAATTGCATGGCTGATTGACACAGCATACAGTAATAGCCTGCATTACCGTGTCTTTTCCCCTCATATAAAGTGTCTACAGGGTTTTCAAAAATTTAATGAGCTCTCTAGGATCTACATTTTTGAGCTGCACTGTTATATAGCTTGATGATAGTTCAAGCCTTTTCAAAAATTGTCAGCATTGGCCTTTGAGGACTTTCTCTGGCACAGAAGAAAGGGACCCCACAGACAGTGCCAAAACTGCTTCCCTGAACTTGGGGAAGGTTTCAGAAATCTTTACTTTCTCCATCTGGCTGGTGTAACTTGACAGTAAGTGTAGGTAGGTCAAGACGCATCTTTGTGTCTTGAATTACATCAATTGATGCTTGATCATATGCAAGCCACCAGCTTGAATACCACACGGGAAGACAGTAGGTATTCCCCTGATTTCAGTCTTTTCTTACAAGACTTTTTCGTCTGCATGGTTTAATGGCCACAGGCACCTCTGCTTTCCTGATTTTGGTGCCAGTGAGTCGCAATTGACGTGGTCATCTAAGCACTCCTCCATTTTGGAAAGAACATCAACATCTTCAAACTGATCTTCACCACACTGTTAACCTGAGGACGTCAGGCAGCTGGGAATTTTCCTGGGTGATTCACGTGCCTCACTTCAGCTTCAGATTGAGCACGCCATCTTCATGATCACTGGAGGGACGTCCTTTCAAATACAGCTTCGTACAGAGTAGCCCTAAGTTCATGTCAGCAGTATAGCTCTTCCCTTTATATTTTGCAGCAGAATTTATCTTTTCTGGTTCTGTCTTTAAGTGATGTCTCTTAGATTTCTTAATGTGGCTTTCTATGCTTCTTTAGGTTTCTGAAATTCTCAGGAAGATTTGCTGTATCCTCTAGAAATGACAGCCCGTTTGACATGGTATGAAAATATTCCAGCACAGCAGCATTATCATCATATGTCTCACAACATACACAAACAGAGCAGCGTAATTCATTTTGCTCTTCACTGTGTGTGAAGCCTGTCAGCTCTATCAACAATAGATCTTGCAAAAGTCAGCTCTGCAAGCAAAGTCTCTCTTTCTTCATTCAGTGCTTCTTTTTGGATTGCCTTTCATACTGGTTCAGCTTCATTTCTTTTGGCTTTGACGCGTTTTGCAACACCTTTCGCAATATCAGTGTCTTTAATTATTATCCTCTGATAGTTTTTCACTCTCAGAGGAAATAAACTTGTTTCATGGTCATCATTGCCCACTGTTGTCCTAGGAACCGGAAGCAAAACCAGTCTGGCGATTTGGTCGGAACCTGTCAGTCAGCTGCGCCAGAAGGGTAAAACTCAATGTCTGTCACGCTTTTGAGGACTCCTTTGGCTCGTCTGTCAGTGCAGTGCGATGTCTTTTCGCTTGAGTTCTGACCTGGCGTGGCTGGGATCTTGTCAGAGTATTCGTAGAAGAGCTAAGCTCGGTTTGGCCAAAGGGTGATAAGTCCTGCAAATTCTCTTCCCGATATGTGTCAGTTAATGCTTGACGATATTTTTTTTTGGCAAACACCTCTTGCTTACAGTTCAGAGCGGGGCATGTTATCGAACTTGTTTCACTAATGGATTTGTGTGGCTTTTGCTTTCCCGATGTTTTCAAGCGGCTCCCCATGGCACCACAACAGAGGTTAACTTGTGTCCCGTGTTTATAGTTACGGCGCTTTCTGGTTTTCTGTTCTTAATTTGCACCAAGCCGAAGCCAAACACGAAACGGAGGTAAAACTAAAAGGTCAAGGTTTACATGAAATCAAAATTTTGTTGGATTTTGTAGCATGGGATTTTATGTTGTTTGAAAAGATTATTTCTCGCGTTATGAAGCACAGGTCAGGTATCAAACTATGGAATTTATTTTGTTGTCAGTTTGTGCAACTTATAATGAATAGATGCAAATGAAGTATATATGAATGGCCTAATTGCGAGGCTCCTGATTAATTCAACCTGTTGGAAATCAAGTCAAGGTGCTGTCAAATTGACAATGTCCTCTCATGATTTGTTATATCTTTCGTATGATTCACTGGATTAGATAATTATGTTGTCAGTCAGTGTTCTGCTAAACAAATCCAAAAAGGAGACAGCTGCAGTAGGAGGCCACAGCTGAAACGTGAACCTCTGTCACACATCTCTTTTATAAACTTAGTGCCATAAGATCATTGCGAATACAGACAGGTCTAGGCCTTCTCGCGCACATCAACATTAACATCTGTGTGTACGTGTGCACATCTGTATACATTTGTTTCACCTGTGAATGAAAAGGTTAACGTGCGCAAAATTATGAAGTAATTAAGCCGTTGAACGTCTCATGTGATTAACGGATCTCCCACGCTCTCTCTCTTTCTCTCTCTCTCTCTCTCTCTCTCTCTCTCTCTCTCTCTTTATATATATATATATATATATATATATATATATATATATATATATATATATGTATGTATGTATGTATGTATGTGTGTGTATAATATACATATACATATATGTATGAATGTATATATATATATTATATATTTATATATACATATATATATATATACATTATATATATATAATATATATATATATATATATATATATATATATATATATATATATATATACATATATATATACACACACACACACAGTACACAGTCATGAATATGTATGTATGTGTATACAACTTGAATCCCAATCTTGCAGACTCACCTCCTCGTTGCGTCCGAATGCCTTGATTTGAATTCCTTTCGCGTTTGTTTCAGGTCGCATCCGAAGCCTCGGCTCCTCCTCGTGATGGGGAGGCTGTGGAGATTCCTGCGGTCGTGGCGGCTGCGGTGGGGCCTGGTGCTGGTCCTCTGCGGCGTGGGCGTGCTCAACCTCCTGCGCCCCTTCGACCAGGGCTCCAGGGTGAGCACCAGGATCCTCATGGTGCACAGCTCGGGCGGCTCGGCGAGGGAGAGCGCCCTCCCGCGCCTGAGGACCCCGGCGGCCGATGGCAGCACCAGGAGGAAGGTGATCGTGCTGCCGCGGCTGCAGGGCCACGGGGAGCTGACCTCGCCGCCCGCGGTCAATAAGGAGCTGAGCCTCGGGGTCAAGGAGGAGGAGAACTCCGCCCGGGAGGTGCTCGACGGGGAGGGGGCAGGGAGGGACGGGGCGGCGCAGGAGCCGAGGGACGAGGACGAGGCGGACAGGGGAGGGGGGGACGTGACAGCGCTGAGGGGCGGAGGACACCCCGAGGACGCCAACGCCGCCCACGAGATCCACTCCGGCGAGCCAGAGATCCAGCCGTCAGGGCGGAGGGCGGAGGAGGACACGAAGGACGAGGAGAAGACCCGGAAGGAGCAAGAGGACATCGAGATGAGCTTCCACCAGCTCCCGCCGCAGCAAGGGGAAGACGGAGCGGCGAGCTGGAGGAACCTGAGCGCCGATGAGCTGGCCAGCCTGTCCGTGCTGGGGCGGCGGATGTACCTGGGCGAGCGCGTCGGCACGCCCAAGGCAAGGAACTTCACCATCCTCGTGTGGAAGACGGGGCGCAGTGTGGAGAGGCGCCTCCTCAAGCAGTACGGCAAGGACAAGAAGGACCCCTTTGCGGACTGCTCTGTCAGAAACTGCGACGTCACGTACGAGGACGCGGCCGCCAGCACCGCCGACTCGCTTCCATCCTGGTCCACCTGCACGCAGAAGGGCCCGCAGACTTCCGACGAACCGCACCAAGGCCTCGCAGCGCTGGGGGATCTGGATGACCGCGACGAGAGTCCGTATCACCACCTTCTGGTCGCCAAGGACCAAGGACCTCAGCCACTCAACGGGTACTTCAACTGGTCCATGTCCTACAGGCATCCAGCGACACGATCCCGTGCCCTACGGAAGGACCATCAGACTCGCAGAAGGCGAAGAACCAAAAGACAGCGTCGATTATTTCAGTACAAAATCCAAGACCGTGGCCATCATGGGATCGAACTGCGGCGGTTGGAATAAAGGCTGGAAGATACGTGAAGGAAGTCGGCAGGAATGTTACGATAGGTGGACGCCTACGGAAGTGCGGGAACCCCTTGAAGTGCCCGGGACACTTCACCCAAGGATATGACCTTCAATGGATTATAAGTTTTACTTGGCCTTCGATAGAGCGCGAGATCTGTCGAGACTCACTACGGACATGGTGGCTCGAGTTTCTAGAGACATCTGATTTTCTCTATTGAGAGGATTCAACTCTTCTTGAGAATGCGCTGAACATATTCTTCGTGTAATGCTACCATACCTTATACAAGGGCTTTTGTATTTGTTTTCAAGGCTTTGTATGAAGGGAAAAAACGGTCAAATAAGGTGTAAATATTGCTGAATCCGTCCGTTTATTCGCAAAAAAAGAGGGCCAGTCAGTCTGCCTGAAGTCCATGTCACTCTTCCATCCGGTTGTCCCTTCTATTTTTTAAAAGATTTTATTAGATTTTCACTTCACAGTTTAGATCCTTCACTGCCCTCTTTCCTCAGGTCTGGTGGAACGCCCTTGGCAAGGGAGCAGTCCCTGTGGTGATGGGAGGCCCCGCCGAGTCCTACAGGAAGATCCTCCCTCCGAACTCCTTCTTGCACGTCGACGACTTCGACACGCCCAAAGACCTCGCAAGACATATACTGTGAGTCCTCTGTGGAAAGAAGAGACGATTCTAATCTTATTAGTTACTAGTTTCTCTGCAGACGAGATCTTCTGTAACAGCCTCCCCTACCAGAGAGGCGTGTGTGGGATGGCTTTGTCCTCCCCCAACTCTCCCTATCGAAGTGGTCTGCATGGCCTCTCGTCCCCTCAGCTGGGCATCTGGCTTGGGGGTTAGGTACACTTATTCCGACCAGTGGAGGTTCTCGGTAACATAAGGTTTGAAGTACATTGTATTGAGAACTTAGCGGTTGTGGCCTTGGTGAGTGAGTGAGAGAGAGAGAGAGAGAGAAGCAGACAGAGACAAGGTGAGGAGTGAGGGTGTGTTTGAGAGTGGTGAATGAGTGAGCGAGAGTGTGTAAGTGAGAGTTGGTTTGAGTGAGCGAGAGTGTGTTTGAGTAAGTGAGAGTGTTGAGTGAGTGAGACAGACAGACAGGGAGCGAGTTAGTGAGTGCGAGTGGAGAGGAGCGAGAGAGAGAGAGAGAGTGATTCTTTGAATCGACCAACACATTTAATTCACTGAATCATCGCAGTCCAGCTTGGGTGATTCGGCAAGGTCTCGGGTAAATATCGTGGTGTTCGTGGGAAAGAATATCACAGACCAAAGATCTAGAGAGAGTAAAGAATAAAGTTCTCTCTCTCACACTATCTCCATCTCCCCCTCCCTCCCCATGCTATCTCCTTCCTTCCCTCCCCTTCCCCTCTCTCTCCCTCTCTCCCTCTTCCCTCCCCTCCCCTCTCCCTCCTTCCTCCCTCCCTCTCTCCCTCTTTCCTCCCCCCCCCTCCTCCTCCCCCTCCCCTCCCCTCTCCCTCCTTCCCTCCTCCCTCTCCCCTCCCCTCCCCTCCCTCTCCCTCCCTCCCCTCCCTCCCCTCCTTCCCTCCCCTCCCCTTCTCCCCCTCCTTTCTCTCCTCCCTCTCTCTCTTCCCTCTCCCTCTCCCCCTGCCCCCTCCCTCTCCTTCCTTCCTCCCCCTCTCTCTCCCCTCCCCCCCTCGTCTCCCTCCCTCCCTCCCTCTCTCTCTCTCTCTCTCTCTCTCTTCTCCTCTCTCTCTCCTCTCGCTCCTCTCTCTCTCTTCTCTCTTCTCTCTCTCCTCTTCTCGCTCTCTCTCTCTCTCTCTCTCTCTTCTCTCTCCTCTCTCCTCTCTCCTCCCTCTCTCCCTCATCTCTCCTCTCTCCCTCTCCTCTCCCTCTCTCTCCTTCTCCCTCTCCTCTTCTCCCCTTTCTTCCTCTCCCTTTTTTTCTCCTCCTCCCTCCCTCCGCCCTCCCTCCCTCTCTCTCTCCGTCTCTCTCTCTCTCTCTCTCTCTCTCTCTCTCTCTCTCTCTCTCTCTCTCTCTCCCTCTCTCCCTCTCTCCCTCTCTCCTCTCTCCCTCTCTCCCTCCTTCCTTCCTCTCACTTTCTCTCTCTCCCTCCCCCCCTCGTCTCCTCCCTCCCGTCTCCCCTTCGTCTCCCTCCCCTCCCCCCTCGTCTCCCTCCCTCCCCCTCGTCTCCCTCCCTCTCTCCCCTCCCTCCCTCTCTCTCTCCCGTCTCTCTCCCTCTCTCCCTCTCTCCCTCCTCTTCCCTCTCCCTCCCTCTCTCCCTCTCTCTCTCTCTCTCTCTCTCTCTCTCTCTCTCTCTCTCTCTCTCTCTCTCTCCTCTCTCTCTCTCTCTCTCCTCCTCTCTCTCTCTCTCCCTCTCTCTCTTCTCCCTCTCCTCCCTCTCTCCCCTCTCCTCCCTCTCCCTCTCCTCCTCCCTCTCTCCTCTCTCCTTCCCATTCCTCCCTCTCCCTCCTCCCTTCCCTCCCTCTTCTCACCCCACTCATTCACTCAATTCACTCTCACTGTCGCAAGCACTGTTCCGGCTCATGGTCATTATTCCCTGACCTTGGCGCCGTCATGAACCTCCAGACGCCGACGTATTACAAAGCAGTGTCCTTATACTGAATGTGATATGAGGAATCTGCTTTGCTTCCAGCTTTTAGAAGTCGGTGCTCTGGGTATGGCATCATGGTCCTTAAGATTGGTTGTTTAGGATGGTCAATTGCTTGTTAGATTGTGCAGGGTAGTTTGGGATTACTTCAGGATGGTATACTGATGGTATAAATGTTCAGGATAGTTTTTTTTTGATGATTCAGGATTTTATATTGATTGTTCAGTTGTTCAGGACAGTGTTTTGATAGTTAAGGATAGTCATTTTTTGTTTAAATGTTTAGAATAGTGTTTGATAGTCCGAGATAGTCATTGCTTGTTCAAATGTTCGTAGTCCAGGATAGTCATTGCTTGTTCATATATTTAGAATAGTCTTTAATAGTCCAGAATAGTCCTTCCTTGTTCAAATTTCGTTAGCCCAGGAAGTTATTGCTTGTTCAGATGTCGAATAGTTTTTAATAGTCCAGGATAGTCCTTCTTGTCAAATGTTCGTAGTCAAGATAGTCATTACTTGTTCCATAGATGTTAGAAATAGTTTTTAATAGCCCAGGATAGTCCTTCCTTGTTCAAATATTCGTAGTCCAATAATTTCATTGCTTGTTCATATATTTAGAATAGTTTTAAATAGTCCAGGATAGTCCTTCCTTGTTCAAGACGCGTCACTGATGGTTCAAGATGGGATGGTTGAGTGGTCCAGACAGATTGCTTTCAGTCTGTCCGCGTCAGACACCGGGGGCTGTTTGCTGTAACGGGAATTCGGTCCCCTAAAATTCGTTGACCTTTTTGTATGAAAATGCTCTTTTTCTCTTCTTTTTTTCTTTCTCTCTTTTTCGTTTTTTTTTTTTTTTTTTTTTTTTTTGGGGGGGGGGCGGAGGCAGGGGTTATGTTGACGCTTTTGTATGAAATGCTTTTTTCTTTTCTTTTTTCCTTTCTTGTTCTTTCTTTTTTTTTCTTTTTTTTGGGGGAGAGGGTGATGGGGGTTACATTCTCAACTTAGTTTATGTGTTTTGGGTCCTACTAAATCGTTTTTGATATTTTCTAACTGAAGGAAGTATAGATTAGTTTCTCTCTCTCTCTCTCTTCTCTCTCTCTCTCTCTCCTCTCTCTCGCTCTCTCTCCTCTCTCTCTCTCCTCTCGGCTCTCTCTTCTCTCTCTCTCTCTCTGCTCTTCTTTATAAATTTTTTTCTTTTCTTTTTTTAATTCCTCGAACTTCCTGAGGTTGTGTTTCGTCTCCTAAATCGACAACAGAGCCAAATGTGCTGAGTCATGCGCAGTCCCCGAGTCAAAGGGGTGAATCGCATGGACCCTTCTCCTCGCCTCGTATTTTCTTTGTCTAATGGGATGTGGAATTCTTGATAACTTGTAATTAAATTTTCTTGAGAATAGAGTTTAATTTTCAACACGTCGGCGGTGGACACTGATGCCGGATGGTCTTGCAAAAGTGCCAATTTGGTGCTTCATAGCAACAACTCGTCTCTCTTCCTCAGATTAATAATATGTTCGTGACCATGAGAATTAAACGCATTAGGTTTTTTTTTGTTTTTTTTTTAGTATAAGAGTAATGTGTATATATATATATATATACAATATATATGTATACATATGTGTGTGTGTGTTAATGCGCCCGTGTGTGTGTATGTATGTGTCGTGTGTGTGTTGTGTGGGTTTGTGTTGTTTGTGTGTGTTGTGTGTGTGTGGTGTTTGTTTTGTGTCGCAGTAAACCTCAATTTTTAGAGATTAGATTGAACGAAGTTCAGGACTTGGAGTTGTAGATTCACTTGCACAGTGTTTTTTCGCTTCACGTTTCTCTCTCTCTCCTCTCTCCTGTCTCTCCTCTCCCGTTCTTCTGTCTCTGTCTCTCTCTCTCTCTCCTCCTCAATTTCGGTCTCTTCTCTCTCTCTGCTCTCTCGTCTCTGCCTTCCTCTTCTCCTCTCCTCTCCTCTTCTCTCTCTTCATCTCTCTCACCTCTCGGGCGCCTCTCGGCTCCACGGATTTTTACAGAGCTTGCCGTGGGGACCCGCTGAATTTCCGTATGAGATCCCGACTTAACCCTCTTCCAGAAATTAAGAAGAAAGGTCGTTGCGGACCAGCGGTGCAACGTCAACACCGGAAAAAAACTGTCTGACAAGGTCAAGGCATCTTCTCGCGGGTGCGTTTTGGTCAGTAACCGGTAATTGTAAATTTTGAGTTTGTTGATCTTTATATATGTTTAAAGGGACGTTTTTTTTTTTTGCGTATGTTGAAGACCCCGTAATGTTTTTGTATTATGCTTCTAGTGGGATTTACATATTGGGTCAGGCAGTCTGATGGTTGTCTTTAAGCGCAGGGTGTTTTTAAAGTGGAAGAAAGTGTTCCCAAATCGGGAGCTGATAAGTCCTAGATTAATTCGATTATTTTTTTTGGGTTTCCACGGTGATCCAATGTCGTTAGAGGGTGGAGCCTTGGTGGCGGGCGTTTTGTGAGGAAGAGGCTAAGTATTAACGGGTGGTGTGTCTCGTTATCGTTGGGGTTAGGCAGTTATGGGTATCCGGTGTATTTTTCTCCCCTATTGTTATGTGAGACATTTATTAACGGAGGGTGTTAGAGGTTTCCGTGAATCTTTGCTGGTTTGCTTTTTATTCGGTTGTTTGTTGTCGGGATTGTACCGGTTAGAGTTTAGTAGTGTTGTTATATCATTTTCATCACGACGATTTCTCTCGATGAATATCACTACTATGTTATCTATGTTATGATCATGATGGTTAATATGTGTTGATCTGTTGTTATCCTTGTTCACTTTTTCGGTTAATATTATTATTATATTAAGTCCAATGAGTGCTTAATAGGTGCATTGGAAGTGCATAATTGTTAAACATGTAATTGGGTTATTATAACTGTTGAGGGATTTTGATTTTCACGAAATTTTCTCTTTTCTACCCATTCTTATGTTGTTTTCTCCACTTTTCCATAGACACAAATCGATTGTTGTAGTTGAATGAATTATAAGTCTTGCGTGAAATGTTACAGCTGTTATATCAAAGCATTTCACAAAACAGCAACACTACCAGGTTCTTCTTTTCTAGTTTTCACTACTCTTTAACATATTACAAATTTTTCTGGAGGCACACTAATATTCTTTCAGTTAATATCAAGAACAACAGATGATTAGCTTATGAATGTTAATTCTTATAGACACCTATAATAACATAATATGACCTTATGAATTATAACAGCCTATATGTGTATGATCCTTACAGTATCATACATCATTACAACAGCCTATGCATGATCCTAATAACATTGTAACAGCCTATGCATGATCCTAATAACATTGTAACAGCCTATGTATAAGCCTTGTAACATATATCTTATCGTAATTGATGCCTTAGCATTTTATAATTCTCATTAAAGGCAATAATACTAAATCATGCATTTTCGTATTGATGTTTTTTCAGGACTAACAATAACATGTCTTGCGTTCTCCTCCCCCAGGGCGCTGGCCACAGATCGCCAGGCCTACAACCGCCTACATGCTTGGAGATCGAAGTTCCGAGTCGCCAACGAACACGGCTACTTTGGGTCTCCGGTTTACCACTACTGCCGGGTATGCGAGGCCCTGAATTACAACGACCCGAAGCCAAAGGTTTATAATCGGATGCAGGAATTTTGGAACAAGCAGAAGCAGTGTTTCCCGCCGACGTGGGGCGAGCGGTTGAAAAGGACAGAGGGTTGATTTTGTGGGTTTTTTGTCGGCTTTATCACCCTTCCTTCTGGGAGTGTGCTTATCGATGTATATTTTCCCATTGGCTTGTTTATCCTCCTCTCTCATAGTCTTCCCTTATGATAGTCAAAGAGTCTGTTCTCATTGTGTGCAGTCCCCCCTCAGCTCCCATGTCCGCCACTCCAGTTTCCACCCCCGTATCCGAAACACACGATCCGACTCCTAATGGTTCGTGTTTTTTTTCGGATACAAGAGTCGGTATTTGTCAGCTTGCGAGTGAAGGGGCCTGCAGGAGGGTCGAGAGAGGCACGACCAAAGGCTCTTTCGTCTGTGATTCGGATTCCGTGTCGAGTGGCCATATCATGTGATCCTTCGGTTGTTTAGATTTTTAGATGTTTCGAAAGGGATTCGACGCTCCATTCACGACGAGACCTTGCCCGCGCGCCTGTACCTCGTTGCCCTCGTGTCCGCCACTGCCCAGCTCCCCCAAATACGTCCACTGCATTCAAGTACACTTCGTTGCAGTCTCCAGGTACACGACACAGATTTACAGTATATATTTTTTTCCTTTTGTCAGGGAGTCTCCTCTCAGGAAAACACTTCTTCACATATCATGGTACCATTTACACACAGACTCACACTATAATTTACCTTACAAAGATGTGTATAATTGAACTGTATATTTTAGCCCGTGACTTTATGATAATAGATGAGAAGAATGGATGGATTAATGATTATGAATGATAATTCTAATTAATAAGGGCCATCATAGTTTGGCAATTAAACGGTGTATATACAATGTGTCCATAATCTTCCGGTTCAAACCACTGATTTTTTTCCTTACAATGGTTCGAACGAAAAGGTTTTTTTCTATGCTATTTGATTAATTTTTTCGGCGGCTTTTTTCTACTTGTGTTTTTCTTTATTCATACGAAGCCATAGATAATATTAGATTTATGATGGACAGGTGGTGAGTTAACTGGCGCGCAAATGGACTAGGGATCATATAGCATTAATTAGATATAATGGGCGCTATTATCGTAAAATGTTAAATGTGGATGAGTAAAATTTCAGTCTCTATCCTTCCCAATTCGGTACGTACAACTATACCCATGAAAGGGCTGTTAGTATTTTTGAATAAAATAAGGGAAATTGTATAAAATAATATTGGCAGTACTCTTTTTCTAAGGGAGCATTATTGGGATCTCTATTGAGGATATGTGAAAATTTTGAAGAAAAATATTGCAACGGCGGAAAAAAGCTAGCGCTTAGTTGACTTCTAGTGGTGTGGGCTGTCAGAGTGGAGCAGGGACAAAGAACCTTTTAGTTTTATTTTGAAGCTTCTTATGTGTAAGTTTTTTTCCAACTTCGTGTATTTTATTTCTTTAGTGTCTTATTACATAAATTTATTTTCTTCTTTTAGGTGGTTTTATTTCTCATAATATTTTACCCATTATATATCGTATATTATTTTTATATGTACAAAAGCTCTTATTTCGTTGTATTGTATTACCCCCTATTGTGTAATTCATGACCTATTTGTTATTTATAATATCCTATTATTGATGAGTATTAATATTAGTGAGGTGATATACTCTAGTACTAGTATCACCTATATATATTGTCATTCCATCTATATGTATTTACATATATTATTGTACTATATCTTTCTCATGTTTTACTTACTATATGTATACTTTCTCTCATCTCTAACATCTCTCACCTACAACAATTATATATGTTCCGATAATTATATATATATCTCATTTCATATATATTCTATCTAACTATATATTCTCTAGTTCATTCTCTTTTACTCTCATTCTTCTCTTCTATTACTCTATTACTTTATCTTATCTTCATCTATATATATCTCTTCTATCAATATCTATCTCAATCTCTCTACATATTCTCTCATTACTTTCTATGTCTCTAGCAGCCTTCATATAATATACATATATATATTTATAAATAATATTATTATATTACATAGTATATATATAGTTATGATTACGATACACCACAACAGGTACTACGCACGATGCACACACACAACACTACACACACACACAGCTACGTCACAGCACACAGCTACAGCACACCACAGCACTACACCAATGGGCGTCAGCACAGCACGAGCTAGCAGTCACACACACAGCAGTACTGTGTTTGCGGGAGATGCCACAGCACATATACACACTTACACAGAGTATGATGTGGCGAATGCCACATAAACTATACTATATATATATTATATTATAATAGTATATAATATATACATATACTATATAAATATATAGGTTATATATATTTTATATATTATATTATGTAGCAGTATAGATTATTTATCCATGTTAAAAACTGTGCGCCTTCTTGCCACGTTTTATGATTAGTCACACCTGTAACATTTTATCATGAAAGCCATTTTTCACATATTTTACCCGGCGATCAAGTCAGTGGCGCTCCGATGTTCATGAAATGTTGTCGGAATCCGTATTAAGCTTTTTGTTTTTTTGTTTTTTTTTATCACCATTTTGACTCTTTTTTTTTGGGGGGGGGGAGGGAGGTCTCCAGCCCACGTCGCGCCCACTTCCGTTTGTCCTTCAATACGTATTCTGTGATATTTATAATCTTAGGGAAATGCGATGGTTTTTCCAAGCTCCGTGTGTGTTTTGTTGTATAGTGTTTGCATCAATTATTTTTTTTTTTCTCTCTCTCTCCATTCGTTGTGTTTCCAGTTGCCGTCACTTGCATTTCTCTTCATTTTTACTTATTGTTTTTACAGTTTAATAAAATCTTGAGAAATAGGACATTACAGTAATATGCTACAACATAGCACATGATGCATCGGTCTGTACGTTCTTTTTCCAAAGCAACATATCAGTATTCAGACATGTGGCTCAAAGCTACGTCAAAGATCCCTTTTTTTTATAATATTCTTTCATTTTTATTTTCAGGCATTTAGGTCGGTTGAAAATGTATGCTGTATTTTGATAAATAGTTTGTACATGAAATATATGTATAAAAGAAAGAATGATACGTGTTTTTTTTATATATTCCTGAATGTACGGATAATGCTTAATAATGAATAAAAACGCTACTTGCCTTACGTGCGAGATCGTGTGAAGGACGAATTACGGATTTTGTTAAAAAAGGGAAAATCTTAACTTTGCTGGTGATTTTCCTTGTCAGTTTCTTGCCGGCGAGTTTTAAGTATGAATAGTCTTAAACTTTACTTCTTCCATGCTTGTTTATTTTAGAAAAATAGAGAAGGGATTGTTTTCAGTATCCACACCTGTTCTCCGGCTACACAGGCAAACCCGTACTCTAGGGGGGGGGGGGGGGGGGGGGATACAGGTAAAGGCAGAAGTAGGAAGAGAGAGAGAGAGTGATAAAACAAGGAGAAAAAAGAGAAATAGATACAGAGACAAAAAAGGGAAAGAGATCCAGAGAGAAACTTTAAAGAGAACAAAAGAACTGAAAAGAGAAAGGGAAAAACGGGAAAGAGAAAAAATAAATAAAAAGAAGAGGGGGAAAGATATAAAAAAAGATGACGAAATACCAAGAAAGAGAGATAAAGGGAGACGAAATACCAAGCGAAATACACCCAGACAAAAAAAGCACAAGTTACACGTTGTACACTTTTCAATACCAAAATCTAAAACAGGCCAATTTTCATGACAAGGGCTTACGTGACGTCACACAAGTCACTCAAGAGGAGGTTCAATCTTGCACCTGCGGACGGCGTTCATCTCTCCCTCTTCTTTTTCATTTCTTTTTTCATTTTTGTTCTCTTTCCCGTTTTTCCCTTTCTCTTTTTAGTTCTTTTTTTTCTCTTTAAAGTTTATCTCTGTATCTCTCTCCCTTTTTCTCTCTGTATCTCTTTCCCTTTTTCTCTCTGTATCTCTTTCCCTTTTCTCTCTGTATCTCTTTCCCTTTTTCTCTCTGTATCTCTTTTTTTCTCTCTGTATCTCTTTCCCTTTTTCTCTCTGTATCTCTTTCCCTTTTTCTCTCTGTATCTATTTCCCCCTTTTTTCTCTCCTTGTTTTTTAACTCTCTCTCTCTTTTCCTACTTCTGAATACACAGAAGGATTTACTACACCAACCTCCCACCCTATCAGACACCCTAACAGAATCCCCCTTTTTGACTCTTGACAACCTGTTCTCTTCTCTCAGGAACATACATGTGCTTCACTTGATCTAATCCACTTTCCTTTTACATGTAAAAAAAAAGATATATAACAAAAAGAACTGTTGTGCGAAGCGAGAATAATGATAGTCTTTTCCCGAACAGATGTTGGGAAATGTTTAAACGTTCGGAGTCCTTTGTTTCAAATACGCTCTATGCATTCGTAACGAACTTCGTAATGTGGACAGATGTAGAGAGGTATGAAAGAGAACGAATATCTTCACAATACGAGAGATCTATTTATCCGGTTTCGAATATTTTTACTGTATAACCGACGAAGATATATCCGAAGCCGGTCAAATACATTATTGTATTTATTGTATTGTGAAGCTATTCATTCTCACTCATCCCTCTCTACACAGGAAAATAACCCCAATCCTAATGATTTAGAGACCAGTTTTCCAATCCTGCCATGAGCTATAGAGACCGGTTTAGCCTTAGCTCTCCAATCTGCCGTCTCGCTTATTTCAAACATAAAATCACCGATGCATATATCTCACACGTATTATAAACCCAAACATTATTTTTCTATCTTTCAATTTTACTTTATCTAGTGATGTTCAGTATGAGTGGATGTAGCGCGTTGAACCAGAGGATTATGAGCATGACAATAATAATGATAATAGTCATAATAATAATACCAAATATAATAATGATGATGAGATGATGATATTATCAGCAATAATAACAGTAATAATGATAATAGAAATAATAACTCATTATCATAGTCACCATCATCATCTTCGTAATAAGAAAAAATATAGTGATACTGCTGCTGATGATGAGAGTGATAATGATGATAACAATAATAACAATAGCAATAAAAGTAACATCACTACTATTATTATTACTTACTGCTACTACTAACGGTAATGATAACAATGATAATAATAATAATCATCATATATCTATAGCAATGATGGTAGAAATAACAACATTGCAAATAATAATAGCAATAATAATAATAATGATGATTACAGTAACAGTGATGATCATTATTCGGTTGTCTTACGAATGTACCGTTCAGGCAAACAATAAAATCAAAACCGCAAAAGCCCATTGTATTGAAAGGCTTTAGAGAATACTCAGATTTTTAAATCAATTAAGAAAAGAGAGAGAAAAAAAAAAATACAGTGAGGTTTCACTTCATCTATTCTTTTGAATATTCCCAAGAATTTTCGAGTCAAATATTGATAGCCAATGGTGAGACAACGCAATAATTTCATTTAAAGAATCTTTTTAGCCAAATATAGGATGCAGAGCTGTTTATGCATTATGTATGAAATGATCTAATGATGCTGTATGTTTAGAATACAACAAAAAATAATGAGTTGCTCATTATAAAAGCCCCTGAGAACTGCCGCAAAGGAAACTCTTGGCAAAAATGCATCATATTTTCAGCCAACTTGACCACTTTGAAAAGAATGAGCCTATAAAATAAGTAGAAAATCCAGTTGTTGTATAAAATTGCTTATCAAATTAAATGGTACATGCAGTCATATTAAAACATTTTGCACGTGCCTAAATAAAGATGTTATTGGTAACATTATGTGCACACACGTGCACATAAAACACTGTTCAAATTACAGATTATGCAAATGCATGAAATAACAAATTCATCAACAGATCTGTACTTTAGAGAGTTAACAAAAACAAAAGTTAACAAAAACAAAAACAGTAACGCACGCAAAAAGAAGAGGGGATGAAACAGTCTTAATGAAGCATAAAAGTTTCGGCGATACTGATTTTTGGCTTCCAGCACCTGAAGACGAAAGTTTCAGTTTCGAGTCGTGCTCGACTCACACCCAAGCGATACTGATCTTTGGCTTCCAGCACCTGAAGAGGAATCATATTCTGTCCGAAACGTCAGGAACCTGGTGTTTCCTTCCTCACTGTGGCTGTTTCGTTCCACTTGAAATAATATGTCTTCTTTCTGATACTTTTCACCCAAGGCCAACTGAGTCTTACAAAAATTAGCGAAAAGAGTGACCGCTCGCGAGTGCACGCTTAGATCCCCCGTGACTGCCTTGCGCTTCGTCCTCCCACGCCGAAGGAGAAGGCGCGAGGCGAGGTCAGCGGCCGAGGAAGACAGGGACTTCCGAGTGGCGGTCTGCACGCGCCGTCTGTCTTGGAATCTTCTAGATGCACGAGGAACAGTTCAGGAAAACAATGACATTTACGTTGCTGATGCAAACATGTATGGTAAACATAGACAGACAAAATAGTCATAAGAAACCTGCCCGAATCCCTCAGGACGGAGTAAACAATTAGGAGGCATTACTTTTAGAACGCCCCTCATATATATATATATATATATATATATATATATATATATATATATATATATATATATATATATATATATATAGGGAGACTACATATATATATATATATAGTATATATATACACATACACCTCTGTGTTGTGGGGTGTACATACATTATGAAATACCCATTACTGGTTAGCCTTATCCAATCTGTCCTTCCACGTCGGCGGAGGACAGTGCCCGTCCACCTTCCAGATATCTTGTAACCGATTGTACATCTTCGGCTTCGGGTCGTTGTGGTTGAGGGCCTCGCATATCCGGCAGTAGTGGTAGATCGGCGACTGGAAGTACGCGTGCTCGTTGGAGACCCGGTACTCGCTCCGCCAGGCGTGGAGGTCGTTGTAGGCCTGGCGGTTCGTGGACAGCGCTCTGGCAAAGGGGGAGAGGGTGATTAGCTCACGATTAGGATTAGTATCTGTTAGTATTGGGAGATCAGGATTAGTATGTTTGTGTATTAATTCTGACTTCATCGGATGAATGTTTGTGTAAAGGATTTCGGTAGAATGGACAACAAATTTAATTATCTTCTGAATATTATTATTTCATGTAATTTTGTTGTGTGTATATGTATGATTCGAAACGAATTGTAATGCCGATCCGAAAAAGTACCTCCCTTGTTTTTGCGCATGCGCGGTGGTAGGCTGCTACCCCAATCTTTCGCGGGGGGGGGGGGTAGTATATCCACTTTGCCCTGACTCTTGCTCGTGTGAGCACTGGTACACCTGCTCGTGAGTAATTTATGGTTTCCTCGAGCACCATATTTAAAAAGCCACATTTACATTGTGTAAAGTAAATGGGAATGTATATGAACCTAAATCTATTCTTATACTAGAATTTTGTTAACAGCCTTATTATTAAGTTTGGAAATCGTCTGGTGAAGGAGAGAAAATTAGCCGAACTTGCTGCTTTACCAATCGGCTCCTCACAGTAATTCACGCCAAGAATAGCATGGAACTCTATTTTTCATATATAGTATGACGTATACTTGAAGAACCATTTTGTCTGTATTTGTTCATATAATATTTGTTATACTGATAAAATACATTTTTTTGATTTTAATCCTTGTGAATTGTACTGACTTGACGACTTCTGATCCCTCCGATTCTAGAAAGAAATGAAACAAAAAGAAAACGAACCACGTACAGTTTGAGCGTGTGTATCATTCTGCTGATTATGCAGTGAAATTAATTTGTATGGCTCGTATGTTGGGTTTAGTTCCATTCTTCCGTACACCTGTGTGGCTGTATATATTGTGCAGACTCCCCTACGTGCTTGTATGGTCGAATCTGTTGGCCACCTGCGAGTTAGAACTGGTGAACATCACAATCGCGGTGGAAGGGCGATGTTCTTAGTCTACAGCTCCCTCTGCAGCACGTTTGGGGAACATGAATAACGTGCGCGAACAGCACAGGTGGCCACAACGTGCACCGCCTTTCAGAAAAAGGATAAAAATAATGAATAGACCACACATTTACAGAGACTGAGTATACACACACACAGACACAGAAAAAAAGGTGCGATAATAACCACAACCTTTCTCTTCGCATTTTGATTAATTGTAGTGTTACCAAACAGCATGCGAATTTCCAATATAAAGATGAGCACCAAAAGGCGTGTATTTCACTCCAACTCAAGTGTTGTATCTTTAAATAATGTGTTTCATTTAAACTACCAAGGCATTGTCTTTGTCTTGGATGTAATATTCCTATTTGTCTTTAATATCCTGTTGTGTCATTTTCATTATTATCGTAGTTTG